ACTTCTTTTCCTTCAGCAACAGCGGCACACTGCGCGACGAGAAGGTTGGTTATGTACGCCATGGGCAGAGTGACCTCTTTTGCCTCCCGCCCCCACCTGAACAGATTGACGTTAACCTTGACAGCCCCGTCTAACTCTTCAAGGACCCTCTAGGAATGAAACGCTACCGCTGCATGAGGCCCTATCCCAGATAACCACCCACTGCAGATAATTCCGCTCAGCTCTCATTACGTAGACTTCGACCTGTAATTATGCACCCAGTTGAATGCACTTTTCGAGTTATGTCGATGGATAGACATATGAGCTCCAGTAAATAACCGCGTAGGATTAAGGAGCAGTCGAATGCATCCTCAATTCTGATGGGAATTTAATTTAGGGTTCATTCAGTTGAGAATGTCAACGTCAAGAGTTCTGCACTTCCTTCAGCCAAAATAGATTCGATTTACGCGAAGTTCATGCCGATGGAGATATTCCGAGAGCTAGTTGAATACGACATTCAGCTTAGCTCTGCCTGAGAAAGAAGCAATTGCATCAAGTGCATTTTGCAATTTCAGTTCATCAGTGGCCGAATCGTTGTCATAGCTCTACATCATTTCCGCTGGACTTCCGGGCACCCGCACATGGCCAGCTACCGATTTCCTGCCAAATAGTGCTTCCAAAACGAATTTCCCTAAACCAGCTTGATCCATGAAATGGTGGAGCGCTGTCACTCCCTAGGCATAGATCGGACAGCTTGGAAACTATTATAAATTATGTCATGACCTAATTTGCATCAATTCCACAAAGGCTTATGTGAAAGAAGGAGGCAAGATTTACTGGTAAACAATAATAGTAAGTTTCCCCAAAGCAGTGGATATACCTGAAATTTCTGATAGCCCTCTTCAAAGCTATACATCCAGCCCTGAGCAAAAATGAGAAAATGAAAGGAGGAAGAGAAGAAAATTAAGTTCTTCTCAGACTTCTCCTTTTCGCTCATTCAAACTCAATTTTAATTCTCCTTCCACCTATCCTTGATATACTTGCTCGCAAAAATTCGAGAGCAGACCTAGCCACAAAATTTTGGATTGAGAAGGCAAATGACACCACCGATGACGAGTCCGAGGGATCTATTACAGGATCATTGCAGTTTCTTGGCGAACTAGTGTGAACTCGAACATTCCAGCTTTTCACGCATGTCAAGTGACTGCCCTCACCCCCACCCCCTAGACTGGCTACAACCCCCTGGCTCGGAGTTACCCTAGCTTTCTGGAAAAACTGCATCATGATGCCCCCCTAACTGGAATAGACCCAATCCGCATTCTATTTCGTCCCATCCTAAGATTAACTTGAACTGGATCCATGTTTTATACCGCAAAGGAAATAGTGGTGGGTGACCTGCGACAATCGCAATCGCAGTTCCATCCGACCATGTTGTTATCCAAAGATGTACCACTTCAAGCTTCGAAAATCATCCATCCAATAGATAAACCATAAAACTTGGCGCTTGTAGAGCATGCGTCGCCGAGTAATGCGGTAAATGTCCGGTCCGTCGGTGTGTCTGTCTGCCCGCCATAAAATGACCTATGAGTGTGATAAGGGAAGTCATAGCAGAAAAAAGCCCACCGCTCACAGAAATAGGGAACAATTTCGTCTTCTGGTGTCGATTTGATATTGTTGTGGTTTTGAGAACCTTATAGTTGCTCTTTAATCACTTTGTTTCATAAACCAGAAATATGCATTGTCCCTTTGTCATATAGGGGGGGGGGGCCAAAAAAAAGACATTTTGCCCAGGTCGCACTTCGGCCTTTTTTCTTCGCAGAGATTGCCGTCGTTGACGGAAGTTCCTCAGCAAAATATTCCCTAAATGTCCCTCTATAAGTACACGCAGGCCCTCCTTCACTACCCTCACCGTCTTCAGAATATGACGTCATCTGTCACCGTCGTCGAGCTCAGGGAGGCCTACAGTAACTGCTTCAGCCTGAAGCTCTTACATAATTTCTTGGATCGATTCAACGTGGATATCCGCAAGGGACATTCTAGCCCAACTCTTGACTATCGCGAACATCGGAACTCCGTCCCTTCGGGAGCAGAGTCAACCCTGCGTTGCGCAGTTTTCAACGGCCACGTTGCGCAGTTTCGCCCGATTAGACACGTTCTCTCGCGCGAACATTCACACTCGCATGCTCGAGCCGTCTGTGTCTCCGCCCATACAGCGTGCGTTGAGGATCTCTCAACGTGCCGTTGCGAACTGCGCAACGCAGGGTTGACTCTGCTTGAGCCCAACGGTACAGGATACTGTGCTAACCCCATTGAGCATCGACCAGGCACCGTGATTTCCGGGGCAAACTTTCTCTCTAATGCCGTGCCAAAGGTTACACGCCCATTCACGTTATAGGCCCGTACATAGGCCACTGTAAAGATTTTCTTATGAAATGAAGGGCGTTCTTCAATTCTAATTTGGGAGCTCACGCTTTGAGCTGAGCAAAGTGTGATTCAATTCATTTCAGTATGGAGACAAAATGTCTTTTTTTAATTTGCGCCCTCCCCGGTTGATGTATAGCATCAGCGTGGCGCAAATAACAGAAGCTGTGTGTGCTCGCAAAACTTGCCCTTTCGATTTTCCCAGCTTCTTACTAGACCAGTTTTTTTGTGTAATGGGAATATTCGGGTTCTGTTCTGTCATGGAACCTCTCAATTATGCGGAATTTCAAAATGGTGAGGCCTTTTCCCTATCCTGGTACCACTGACCAGTACAAGGTGTTCAGATTCGCGACTTACAAAAGGTAAAAAGTGGAGAATGAGGGGACGAAGCAGCAACCGAAAGTTCGCAAACTCAGGAGACCATTCCAAACGACCAATTGTAGGAAGCCAATCCTAGTTGTCTCCCTAGCCAATTTCAAGGGATTTGCAACTTTTTCTGCGCAAGAGCCCTATTTCATGAATCACGAAGTACAAAGAAATATTATCCTACTATATATAAGCGGCTAGCGTGTGTCTGTTGTGTGTGTGTGTGTGTGTATGTTTGAACGGAAATTCATAGCTCGAGTCACAGTAACGATAGCGCAGTGGTTCTTACATATGTTATAGGGGGTGGGATGGGGACACAAGTGGTACGTGATAGGAACTGATAACGACTGATAATAGCTGATAAGAGGGGCTAGAAAGCGAGCATCGCCAATTTCGTTTTGCCGTTCATATTGGTAAAGAGCGTCTATACTTACAAGTGTTATGTGGGGCGGTCCCGGGACATTGGTGGTACATGATTGGAAGCGATAGCAACTGATAATGGCTGATAAGATGCGCTAGAACGCAAAAGTCGTCGATTCCGTTGCCTGGCTCGCGTTGACACCAGAGCAACCATACTTACAAGTGTTATGTGGGGTGGGACGGGGACATTGTTGGTGGGTGCCAGAAACTGATAACGATTGATAAGGGCCTGATAAGGCGCGTCAGAACGCAAAAGTCGTTAGTTCCGTTACGCAGCGTTGACACTAGAGCGTTCCTACTTACAAATTGTAGTAAGTCGTAGTAGTACAAACAAAGGTACGTGCACATTTATTTCGATATATATCCAGCTTACTTAATAGAATTCGACTGCATAAATTTTTAAAAAACAAGTCTTCAGCAAATGATAAGTTTCATTTCTATCACGAAAGCCCAGACTCATTAAACCGCTAATCCTTTCAGGGTTCTAAATAATGGTGAAAGTAAATAAATGATAAGCCTTAGCTCCTCACTTATGTAAATAGGCATATTTCGTTTTGATTTTGAGACTGACAGCAATCCTATTCACCGCTAAATTATCTTAATTCAAGAAAAATGCTGGATGTTTACAGTTGTGATCAATATACCAGTTCAGCTCAGACGTTATCACGCGTATTCTTCGATGAGCTTCAGTGAAACTGTGGAGGGTCTAACACAGTCAATAGTGAGATGGTTAATGGAGTATCTCATGCTGATATTCCATGGGTCCTCCAATTTCGCTAAAGCCTGCCGTGTGATGCGCGCGATAGCGGGCGAAGCAAAACTGGTTTTATAATAATTCACCGCTCTCTGCTCGGCATCTGCAAGCCTGCCAAAACGAAACTGCAGAAATCCCGGGATCTAGACCAGTTTATTCTAGGAAAGCTTTTGAGGAAAATTTGATGATATTTGCTATGAAGTATGTTCTGGCGGACGAGCTGGGATTTGAGCGGCAAGTTGAGAAATCTTTGGATGCCCTCGGGGTAGAAGGCCACTGATCTTTGTTTGATAGACTGGAATGTGCTCTGCAATTTTCAGGTGGAATTTTTGAATCATGCGGTTTCATGCGGTTTGAATTTAGCAAGGTATAATTACCGGTTTCAAAGATGGAGGGAAGTGGCTGTTTCTTTTTGAATCCCCCCCCTCTCGTAGTTTTGAATCACTACTACGCACCTGACTATCTGAATCAGGGGGAGCCATGTGTCGAGAAAATTTAACCAATTATTACCCTTCAGGCAGGTCTAGTGACCAACACCTCCCCGGCCTCCGCTCGGGTCGTGACCTCCTGCCTAGCTGGGGATTCCATAGCGCATCTTCATCCTGGATCACCCAATCTACCCGAAATGATACCTACCCAGAATTGTCGTCGAGCGGACGGAGGCGATACACAGAGGGCGCCAAATTGCCAAAGATGAAGTGATAGTTATGCTTAGTACTAGAAAAGACAATCTGGAACTCCTCAATGAGCCGACGTTTACATTGACAAATGAAGCAATGGCCAAGATGCGCCGTGCAATCCGCATACTTAGAGTGGCCGCCGAAGCGTTTGAATGCATCTCTGGTTTGCAAAGAGTACCATAAGGACTGGACAATTCACCAGCGGATGCATGTTTTCTTCCTCCCTGAAGAATAAGAAACCACTTGAACGCACCACTGTCTCACCCTTATTGAAGTAATTTAATAAGTATAAGATCGTCTTTTAGACCCTGCCCATTTCTATAGCCGAAAAAGTAGGAAAATGAAAGAGATGACGAATTTGAGGTTCATAATTTTCAGCATGGGATTGGGAAGGCACGGCACGTGGTTTCGGAATCTCCTATGTGACACTGGGAACGCTAGCCATCGTGTTGAATTCGATATTCCTGTACTCGCTTTTGGCCAGACGACGAAAAGCTTTCTCCCATGCGTTCTACATTATGATACTTGACTTCACCATCATCGATACAATCAAAGGTAGTCAATAATATTGATTTTTTACTTTTGAATTTTTCATAATCTCTAAGGCTTTCTTCTGCAGGTGTATCATCAATACTATTTGCGATCAAGCTACTTAAAACAGACCTCAACTCAGATCAATCCCTGATATCGATTCGTGTCGATCAATACAGTGGCGTGCTGTTACGGTAGGTCTCCCTACTCTCAATCATCCTTTTTTATCTATCCTATCAGTTTCTCTTTCAGATTCGCAAATTTGGCAACGATTCTCAATTTATTGAGTATCACGTTGAACGAATACGTGTTCATTTGTTATCCATTACGCTACTCTACTTTAGTTACAAGGTAGGATTATTTATTGATTCTATTGATTTATTGATTAATTCGGTTCGACGTGAACATTGCCACATCAAGAATTTTTTTGGGTCTCGAAAAGCTTCTTTCTTTTTCTCAATTTTTCATTGTTATGTACCGTCTTTGGTCGACTCCAATATGCATGTAAGAGGAACTTAAGGCCGACACCATCTAACATTTCCATCACTTGTACGAGTTTAGCAATGACGGGCCGACCGAAATGGGTTTAATTTCGCTTCGGATGGGGTCTAGCAAACTGTTCAAGCTTGGTAAGCTTGCTAGCCACTGCGTTACATTCGTTATGAGCCCCGATCGTAACATGTGGCGCTCTTCCTCAGTAAGCGAGAGGTGCGGGTTCGAGACCTGCCTGAGGCGAAAGTTTTGTTCATAACCATTCGCAAGGCGAACTGCGCCGAAAACAGCAGTTAACAATTAAAGCAAGTCAAAATCAATTGCTACATCCTCTGCTATTTTCAGAAAACGGGTCGTTCTAGTCATTGTGTGCATATGGATTTTCTCATCATTGATGACGTTCGCTAATATGGTGGCCGGCCTCCAAAACCGTAGGGGTTTTTTCGCGATGTTCATTAACGCAATCAGCCTCGGGAGGGACAACTTGTTTCGTTATCTCTCTGTCACTGTAGGGACTCTTCTATCTTTGCAGATTCGCCTTTTCGCGGCTTTTTTTTTAACTGAATCACAGTATACTCAGTACCAAGGTCTTTCCCAATGACTGCACTTCGTGGTGCGAGTATTCATATATTCGTGACACCAGGAATTGAGGAATATGGGGAATGTCCCCATATCGAAGCGTAATAGCGGGAAAAGAGTGCTACATACAATTGGCTCCAACGGTGTGTAAATGTAATGTAGGTTGGGACAGGACATAAATCTTTATCCCCGAGCGGGCTGGCGAATAATTACAATGAATAAAGACCATTCGTTCCGTTAATAGTGTGACCACACCATGGTCTCGTGATGTCTCGCTGCATTGTTACAAATAATAGTAAATGCCTCATGTCATGCTCACAGTTATGGACGGACCTCAAAGAGGCAAAGGAAAACACGCAGACCGGTCCGATCCTCCGACTGGTCAGTCCCCTTTTGGAATGCGCCACGCATTCAAGATCAACATCCGTTCAAATCAAATTGTCATTTTATGCGGTTCCGCCTGACAGATGACTCTTGGGGGACATCCAATGGTGTCAATTCGGATCGCTTCCTCCCTCAGGCAAACCTACCAGCGTGCCGATTGACTCGAACGCATGAAAAGGATTAATACCTTGCCGGTTCAGTATAATTATAGGTCCACCTTCCCAAATGTTTTTGCGACCGCCCCAAATAAGTTGCGACTGTGCACTTTTTCTGGAACAGCTCGCGTATCACCGGTTTTAGACCTTCCTTATCACGGGGAAAACTTCTATATTGGTGTTTTTTTCGCTAAACCAAAAATTCCCCGCCCTCCTGCAAAGGCCTAAACCCCACATTACTTTTTTAAGAACTCGCAATTTTTCACCGTTCAGCAATCACTCTGCGAGGAGTATTCGGAATCTCCCGCTCACTATAAAAATTTTCCATAATTTGTGGCGATTCCGGTTGAAGGGAATCAGGGAAAGCGGGGAAGATTTTATGCTAACGACACGGCGGTGGGTTCAGCTTCGACAATCCGCAAGATTTACCTACTCACCCTTCCGTTGAATTTTTAATTTCGGCTCTCTTCCCAGTGATAAGCTCGCAAAAATGCGCTAGAGCCCTTTACTGAAGTCTGGATGAGGTTCTTCGAGTTGAAGCAGCAAACGTATGGCCTCCCAACTGATCGACCGGCCATGACTTGACCCAGTTATATTGCATTAGTGGCATGTATGTGCCGCACTCCCGGCGCTTGTGCGTGGCACACTGGGTAGTAGTTGCGCCTTTCAGTAAATATAAGGACACGGCGACTGCGTTTTATTTCAAAATTTAGGAGGAATTGGGTGTCTTCTCTCGAATTATACAAGGAGTCCGAACAAAGTCCGTACTGAAATGCGGCCTTCCGTGAGCAAAACCACCGTGTGGCGAGTAAGCCAGCAGAGCAATAACATCTTCAACGGATTGATTGCGATAAGTTCGGGCAGAGCCGATGCGGTTCGTGTGGGAATTATTGTTCATTAGTCCCGCACTACATACCGATCGCGAAGCTCCCGCTTCCATTTTTCGCTGGGAATAAGGGCTCCAATCTCAACTTAATTAGCGGCCACCGGAACTTAGCCAGCCCGGACACCTGGGCCCCGGTTCATATCCCGCGCGCTGCCGCTCTGAGTCCCCCGCGGCCACGATGACGGCATTCCGGGACCCCCATCATTGGATCTAACTTGGATGCGATGGTGTGGCTGTTAAGACCCTTCGCGATCTTGGACTCTACCTCCTTGTTTCGTTCTACAGGTGGTCTGAGATCGACGTGGAAAAGTTTATTCTAGGTGGATATGGCAGAAAAAGAGGGTACAGGGATGATCGCGTACGTAATAACTTCGGGCGCAGACTCGGCTTTTCAATGACCTCAGAGGATAGAAGCTTCTTCGGCTCCGCCGTGTAGAATCCCTTAGCGGTAGAGCCACCTGGCGTTACGTCGAAATCGATCTGGAGTAGCTTAGAGCTCGCTTTTTGTTTCCATTCACTAAAGATTTCAGATTTCCGTGATCGGCAATCTCTTTTTTACGAAAGCGAGTACCCCATCTTTTTCCAACGCAGAGGATCGCCCTCATCATGGCCTTGATTTTTCATCAACACTATACACACCTGCAGGATGGCCGATGCCAGGGTTCGCCTCGGAAGCTCCGCGCCAGATGCGTAGATTGCTTGAGGCGAAATCCAAACGCTCGTTGGCGGTTATCGTGGCCGTGACGCCACCATTGCTCCTATGGCATGAATTTTACAGGGTCCCCAAGTTTCGAGATGATCATTTCGCAGCCTAATGGTTGTAAAGTTATCCCACCACGCCCCAACAGTAAAGCCATAACTATGTGGATACATGAGCTCGAAAAGCTCGGACAAAAGGATCGACCTCTCGATCACTTCGCGAAATACCCGTCGACAGACCGAAATTTCGAATGCCCGTACTCTGTTATAGCCTAATTTGTCGCTGGTACCAGGCAGTTTTCTCTTAAGAAAGACCATACTATACTCGTGTTTCTTTTTATTGATTCAGTGTTCTGGGGGTCATCCATTATTGAATTTAACTCGTGACGTTTGTTCGTTGACTAGCTAAAACTGGCTCACGCGACCCGCATAGTGATAGACTGTCGTTAGTCTATTTCTGAGCGAAACGGTGAAAATACGTTCTAAGGAAGATATTTTAATAATTCTGAATCGAGATTTCTCCAGAAATCAAGTATCAAGGTTTTTCGTTATGGGGAAACTATTGGTAATAGCGGCATTTTCCAAAAATGCACAGCAACTTTGGAATAGCAAAAAATTAGGGTGGACCTATATTTATGAAACGCAGTGTATAAGTTGTGGAGGTGACCCTCAATTTTGGGCTCCATCACTTATGTTGGGAAATTGATTTGTCCTCTTACCTTTCAAATCATAGTAGTGTGGTATACATGTGCACATTTGCCTCATTTAACCGCTAGCGAGAATCCATGTCAGAGACCCTGGACCATTTTGCATTTTCCAAGTAAAAATTGGGGATGACCTTTGGGAAAGGATGGATGGCGTAGGATGCCTCAGAGTTAGCGACTTCATTTAGGGATCGACGCATTAGCGCTGTTAGAAGGACGTTTAACGCGCTTATCTCGCGAGAGTGCGCCGGGAGGGGGGGCGATCTATGCTCGAGGATTGTTCGTAGACCGGAGGCTAGCTATTTTATTGTCGAGCCGATTAATTTTTTGTTGTAACAGAACGTGGAAGAGTGTGGCAGTTGACGTTTGGATTGCTTGGCAGAGAACTTCAGACAACTTCCAGAACTTGGGATGATCCGGAAAAAGGCATTTCAAAAACGTGTAGTCACTCTTCAATACGCGCACGGGCGAGTAATCCAAGTTTGATTGAAGACGTTGCAGGCTCATGTCTGCACGCCCCCTGTAAGTCAGAGTTCGATCCCTTCAAAAGGCCTAACCATTGCCCTTCAGCGCACTTCCGCAAAGCGCGAGTTCGATCCCTGCCGAGGCTTAAACCATGCCTTGCAAAAATTGCAAAAATGGTTCTAGTACCAGCGTCAGGCCCAGGTTGACAGGCCGGCTGATGAACACCCCAGTCACACCAACATGTCTAAAAGTCGCAAAAGAATCAGTGTTAATGCTAGGACGTCACCCGGAAGTGGACCGCGCCGGTTCTGTGGTCAGTGTGCGAGGGCTAACGATGAATGAACGGCCTCGACCAAAGAAGCTAGTTTGAATTACTTATACTACTCACTCTAACTATGCGCCATGATTCCTTTCCTGTCTTGTATCTAAGATGAAATTTCAAGTGCACTCGCCCATAAATTATCCGATTGGAGCAGCTGATATCATTTTATCACCTTCACCAGATTGGTCCCCCGGCAACCGCCGGACCCTCCCTTCCTTGCGAAGCTTGGCGTTCCTCCTCCTCACCTTATCCTCCCCTCCTCCCCCACTGCTCTCCAGCTGCCACTGCAGCACCTTGTGAAATGACTGAAAGTGTACTAAGTAGGTGTTTATATAGCCATTGGGGTACCTCAACAAAGGATCGTACCGTAATCCTTGAAGCGATGCATTCCCTCCCTCTTCCCTCCCCCTCCCTCTCCAACCCATCCCTGCCTCCCCCTCTTGCCCTCCCTCCAGCTGCCACGGCGAAATGAGGCTGAGTGTGCTCGATCGGTGTTTATATAGTCGCTGTGAATGTTATCATGATCATGACATCAACATCACGAAGTGTAGCCCTTCGAACTCCCCGGTTTTGTTAGCGGTTGGTCCGGACGGACAGAACGACACACACACCGACAAACCGACACACCAAATTTGTGGTTTTATATAATGAAGTGATACTTCC